ATGTGTTTCTTCTTTTTCTTTTATGCTTAAAAGGAGATGATAAATGTTTTTGCCATCATATGACTGATGATGTCTTTTGAATAAAGACGAAACTAGTCTCAAGTGAAATTGTAACTTCATTATGTATCAGGTGGTGTTTGTCTTATTGTCTATTCTTAAATTCTTCACCTTAAAAAATGATTCAGTTGGAGAGGACACCTTGCACTATCTATCAATGAAGAAAGAGCGAGCTATTTCTATGTTAGTTGAAAGCAAATTGATGGGGCTGTATGCCTACCGAACAACATTAGCAAAAATACCACAGGGCAGAGTCGTAACTGGTGTAGAAAAAAGGGGCCGGCCCGTCCAAAACAGCAGAACTGACCGGACATTCATTATGAATAAAAGCACGCATCTGTATCTTCATCATAAGCAAATCAAGTTTAATCGAAAATATACTGAGGCTGATTATAACATGAGTTTGTTTAAACATATGAAATACTTCTCGTGTATATAAATAAAAGAAAGAAGAAAAAAGTAGAAAAATGAGTCATTCTATTGAACGTCTGCTAAGCGCATTTGTCATACAATGTGCTCCTCCAGTTCCCTCCAAGAGCCCTGCTGTATGTATAGGAAACACTATGAACGATGATTGTTTCATTTGTGTTACGATACTATTTTCTTTATCGTCTTCGCCATAGGTAATAACATGACATTCGTCAATAGCCAATGCATTATGCCGACAACTTCTTTGGTCTTCAACGGAAGCTTCATCCGTTTTCGAATCATAAAATGTCACTGTATGTCCTAATACACTGTCAAGTGTCTCAACTGATCCTTTAGAAACCCATCGTAGACTGCCGTTAGTATCGAGTGTCACTTCATATACACTCATCAGCTTACTTAAGCACGTATGCAAGGTGAATCCAGAATGGCCAACTGAACTCATTACGGTATCCAGATGCATGTAATCTCGACTCTCTGGAATTTTGACAGCAATAACACGTTTCAATGTACCAGCGTCGAACATGGCTTGCGCTAAGGCATCTATTGCATATTTATTAGTCCGTTGACTCCAACCTATAATCAGTGTACCATCACCAACATAGGCAAGATCTCCACCTTCCATTGTTGCTTTGGCAGAATGTGGAATATATCGCTGCCAGTCGATCAGTTCGAAGTGCCCAACAAATTTTGGATAATATTTGAAGATGATGCTCATTATCAATGGTTCATTTTGTCTTGCCGGAAATGCCATTTGATGAATTACAACTTTATTTTCAATGATTGAAAATGAATCACGTGTAAACATTATATTTGGTAATGGTGGTACAATAAATTCACCTAATGGTAAAAGATTAGCGATATCTAATTGTTCCAATTCATCAGCCGTACACGCAACACCTTCAATAACATCACGTGCCAATTGCGCAGGCTGCCTTGCTTCTAACCATAACTGTAAACAGTGTTTAATGTGTGGTGATGAGTCTGTGTTTTCGACAATACCATTAATGAGTTCATGAACCGCTGATTTACTACTTGCTAGAGTTTCACCAATAATATCAGTTAGATACAGGATATGCACACCATGCTCTCTCAGAGAATCAGCGAACATGTCATGAGACCTATGGGTATCATCTAAATTGGGTTTAGCATCAAACAGTAACGCGTCAAGATTCTTTGATGTTAAGCGATTGATTTCTTTACCAGAACGATGCATCAAAACCGTCTCAAGCCGACCAGCTTCTGAATGAACTCCATTTAATTCTACCTTTTGGGGACGGAGAACGGAATCAATTGCATTTTGAATATGTTTTAATTCACATTCCAAGTATGCTATTTTTTGAGAATAATCTTTAAATGTGTTGTACTTGTGTTCGGACTGACTGCCATCTCTCAATCTCAATACATGAGAAATAAAAACATCAAATTTAACTGGTTCTTGCAATATCTTAAGCGAATTCATCTGGGTGAACACCATTCTTCTCGAATCAATTAGTTTGCTCACAACAGCTTCCATTGTCTGATAAATAATCTAATTCAATCAAACTAACTTTACTGGAATAATTTTTGAATAACATACATATTCAGTCACTCACTTCCCTTATATAGTTGACTATATCCTGTACAACTGCCTTTTTCGTCCAATCAGTTGTAGTAACCGAGTAGGACGCCATTCTCTCACAGATGCGCATTACAATTTTACCCACTTTCTTCATTAACATTCAAGAAAACTCTCGCTGAATAATTAACAGAAGTCGTAATAGAAAAAAAA